TTAAAAGGAACTCGATGCTCGGTCCAAGGAAAGAAACAGGAAAAAGTGGATCTGTACCTGAAGGGACTCGGGATGTGTTTAAGTGAGCATGTGTGTTGATATGTGTGTGTGTGTAGTTTGGCTAAAATCCAACCACAGCCTGTACCACTACCCTCCCTTTCCCCAGAACCACCCTAAAATCCTCCCTGGGCCTCCAGCGATAGAATCCCTACGGGAGACTGGAAACAGAACAGAGCAGAGAGGAGGGAGATAGGCGCAGAATAAAGCTGCTTTCCTCCTACTGCACATGCACGAAAAGATCAGGGGCGCTCCTAAAAACTCCGCAAAAAGGACAACCCTGTGGAGCCCACAAAATATTCTGGTAATTGGAAAGCAAACCAAGAGTCAGACCTTTAGGGGGATGTGTTTAGAAGAACAGATTTTAAAGTCTGTAAGTTTATGCTTTTACGTACATATACTCAAAATTACACCTGATATTGGAACATAGTTTTTGGAGATGTAAAATACACACTATCACAATTTCATAATATTTTCTAGTCTTTTTTTTAAAGAAAGGGATCTTAGGAATCTTAATTTAGGTAAACTACAAACTAAAGATATACAGATACATTTGTTTTGGCTAATATTTGCATTTCTCTCTCAATATGTATGTGTTGGTTTATTCGGCAGCCATGCATTATCCTTCCTTCTATTACCAATCCATTGTTTATGTTTGATTGGCTAATAAACATTTCTATTTAAACTTATGTAATTTACATTTCTGTTACAATTATTTTTGTATCAGTTTTAAAATGTAAATAAAGTTAAAGCAACATCAGCCTAAAGGATACAAAACAACTGGCAGCACAAAACCAGTAGCTGTTGCCAAAAATAATCAGAATCGAAATCGGCCTATAAACCTGCATCTGTCGATCGCTAGTACAAACCTCTATATTCAGTTTTAAGTGCATAAACCATCAGCATTTTACATTTTATGGTGCACTCTAACTTTAAAATAACATTTTTATCTCTTTAAAACACAGATTTATACACAAAAATCAACACACTGGAATCATACATACACACAGAGCAGCAACCAGCAGCAGCAGTAGAGGAAACTTAAGCTATCGTACATATAAACGGGGAGAATATGTCCTCTTTTTGTGGAGCAAATCTGCACCTATAGGTTATGCCAACTTGACCCTCCAAACTTGTTGAAGAGGAAAATAATCTAAGCAGGTCTGATCTCAAAAAAAAGAAGAAAAAAAATCTCAAGAGAGACAAAAAAAAAAAAATCAATGTTGCAACTCATTTGTCCTTTTCTCTACATTCATGCCGTAAAAATATTCTGGCTGTAAGCCTTTGTGAATTATATATGGGTGACTACTGCTCCTACATTTGCTTCAGAGCATCTCACACACTAACTGAGCTACCTGCGAAGGAAAAAAAACATTTTCCTTCAACAACTACTTTTAGTAATTTGCCCGCGTGTCTAAATCGTACACTCACACAGAGGTGCATGTTGGGAGAAAGAGTCAACTGCAAGGCCTGAACAAAATTACCATCATTATCCATAACCATAAACAAGCCTGATGATGATGATGATGGTTTTAAAAATAATAATAGCAATCCAGCCTGAGTGCTTTTTCACATAACAGTGACAACATTAGTCACACCGGCAGCAGAGAAATGAAAGGCTCGCTGCCTTGAGAGCTCGCCTTTGTTGCCGCTGCTGATGGGGCAAATTGGCAGGCAGAGCCGGCAGATGCGGGTCCTTAAAGACGGATGTAAAAATAGTGGGCTGTCGATTTGCCCGCTGCGCTGGCGAGGATCCAAGGCAAACAACATAACAGGAGTTGAGGAATAACAGGAAAAGGGAGAAGCCACGGTGAAAGTATGCCCGAGTTCCTGTCACTTAGCGCAGGTCACACCTAATGTCACCTTCCTCTGGCTGCACCGCCGGGACGAAACAATGTCTTTGCCATATGCTCTGATTTCGTAGCTCGAGATTTATTTAAATGAAAATTTGCTGGTGGCCTGGTTACCCAAAAGTAACGATGAGCCCCTCTGCTGCCACCACACCGAGTCACACACAACTGGAGGTTCTCACTGCTGCCCAGACCTGTGACAGCTGCTGCATTCTTGCCATATCAGTGTGTGTGTGTTGTTGGCTGGGCCCTGCGCTCATGTCCCCCCCTCATTAGCAGGCGGTGGGGTGTTGACATCCTGAGCGACTGCCTCTTCAAATACACACTTCCTCCTCAATCCGGCAACTTCTCCTGAATGCAGGAAACTGCCCAGAGACAAATGACTGAATGAAGTTTTTTTTTTTTTTTTTTTTTTTTTTTTTTTGCATGCATATGATCCTAGAAAAGTTCTGACAAAACCTGCAATAAAAGCTGTTTCAGATGCTGCTCCCCGTTTATTTACGCTCTCACATGTCCAGCTGCTCCACTGCTTTATCAAACCTGCATGCATTTCTGAATCCCACTTTATTGATTGTTTTGGAAAAGTAGAGAAACACCAATCAGGCTGTCCTGGGTGATACCGATTTCCTGTCTCTGCTGCTGATTCCGATTTTGACCAATTCTAGTTTTTTGTTAGTTTGCAAAAAATAAGCAAACCTGAAGAATGTGCTGCAGGTTCTTGCAGGCAGTTGTTTTTGGATCTAAAATAAATAGCAGAATTACCAGATTAATTCTATTTATGCATCAAAGAATCTGACCCTGAATTTTAGCTGATTATAACTAACCTTAGGGAAGCTGTAAGCTCGGTGATGCATTTATTAACTAAAAAAGTTGTGAGTTTTATTTTCAATGTTAATGATTAGAATGATTTTTGGTTATTTGCTTGATCAGCTGACTGTCGCATCTTTAGATAAAAAACATCTTGCATTAAAATAAAAACATGCCACTCTTAGAGACATGGTGCTGCACGAAGCAGAGACGTCGTCTCTGACTCTCCTGAATTCATCTCTGCATCTCCTCCACATCATTCAGGCATTCGCCTCCCGTCTCCTTGGGACAAACAGGAAACAGCTGACACAGTGCCCTGAAAGAAGCTCACATGATGCGTATTGATCACCGTTTGCCCCCCCTCCAGGGTCTCGCACGCAGAGTCGGGGTCAGCGCTCACCCATCCTGCAGGGCATCGCTGCACAACTGCAGAGTTTGCAGGATGACCCCCCCAAAAATGCACATGATCAAGACAGTATTTAATGAAGAAATGTTTTTTTTTCTCGTAGCAGCTTCAGAAAAGGACAGAAATGGATGCGATAATGCAACCACCGGACAAACTTAACCTTTAGGGTTAGGCAGTAAAAAAAAGGCTGCGTACGTCATATCTCTGCGGCTGGTAGCTGGGTAAACATACTGGGGACCGCAGCATGAATGGGACTCATGCATCAGGCTACAGCTAGATGACTTCTTAACAGAGCACACATACTGTACACAACAAGCTGCGCTATATCCTCCACTGAGATTTCTGTCGTGCAAAAATGATGCTGCCCACAAACTGAGAGGGATGCTCCTAATGTCACTTTAAAGTCAAGCTTTACGCCTTTTCTAAGTCACTCGCCACTCTCCTGGTCATTATGTGCTTTTAAAACTGGTAGCAGAGGAATCGTTTTTCTGTTTTTGCAGAGAGTAGATTTTTGTGCTGCATTTAAGTACGTCTTTACTTGAGATGCTGAGAAAAAGAAACACTATCGAAGAGAAGAAGAAGAAGTGGTGAAAGACAGGGACACAGAAGAAAAAAGAAAGAGTAGTAATGGGGGAAGTGGTGCATGTCTTTTCTGCAAATCTCCTCTTTCACCTCTGCTCTCCTCCAGCTCTCCATCAGGCCAGCCAAGAGACACTTCACCTCGCACCCGCACACACATGGAGCCTGAGCCAACACACACATAAAGAGTGCACACACTCATCCTCCAGCATGCGCACACACACACATCACTGGCATATGACTGTTGAGCCACCCACTCAGAAAAATAAATGGCAGGAGCTCAGACACGAACGCCTCGACACCAGATGCGTGCACGTATAGACATCCATATGCTTCGTGTGCAACGACCCATCAAAGACAGACATGGAAATAATAACAGTCGAATGTAACCATACGTACACACGCACACATTCACTCACTGTGGATAATTCTGCACATATGCATCGAATCACTGCCTTCTGAGGCCCGCTCCACGGGAAAAAACAGCAGTGCATGAGCAACATGCCACACTCCTGTACCAAACACTGTAAAACAAGCTGCTCTCTCTCTCAAACACACAAACACACGCATAGACTTGCAGCTATAAGTCTATTAGGGTGTTAATAGGCAGATTAGTTTGCACTGTGATCCAAGTTGAAGAGGATATTATCCTCCCGACTTTTTTTTTTTTCCTTTTCTCCTCAGACAAAACAAAGCAGAGCTTTTCTACAAACACGTCTGTCATCACGCCTCGACACTGATTAATGTTCTCACATAGAAACACCACAAAAAGCCACTCAAATCTCAATCTAATTAGGAAAAAAATAGCTCCACGTGACACAAGATGGTCAAAACAGCAAAGACAGATGAGAGCAAATCAAGCTTATAAATTTATATAATTTTAAAACCGAATGCGGGCACCAATTCTGCTGATCAATGCATGCAGTGGGAGAAAAATAGGTGGAAAGGGAATTTTATTAACAAAAAAAAGAAAAAAAAAGACTTCCTGCTTTTATTAGGCATGTATCTTTGGATTAAAATAACAAAATATTTTTTAAAAAAAATAGCAAGTGGCAAAAATAAAAATGGTAAAATCTAGTAAGTTATTTTACTTTAAATTTGGAGAAACAATTAAAGAGGGAAATTTAGTTAGAAAGTTAATAAATCACAATAAAATGATTTGATTAAAAAGTTGTATCTATTTTTTTTATTTATTATTTTACTTTATTTTAAAATGTCCCTCTGAGTTCACATGTAAATTTTCAGGGTCTCCGTGTGAGAGGAAGCAGAGAGGAGTCAGGGAAATTCTGATGCCACTGTACCTCTTCCAGGTCTCGGCCCATTGTCGACCTGTCGCCCTTCAAAGGAAGCCGCGTTACTGCACCCTTGCAAAAAGAAAAGGAAGATTCTATTTTAGAAATAGCTTTAGAGTAAAAGAGCAAACTCTAATCTAGTTGTATTTTATTGAATCTCTTTTTTTCTTTCACGCAAATAAGCTGCGCGCCTGGGTGGCATCTCCAGGTTTGAGTTGAAGGCGCATTTTTTTTAACGAGCCTCTTAAACTCTGATGCAGGTTCCCACGTTTTCTCTGACACTAAGCGGAGAGGAAAACATAAAAAATGAAGAAAAAAAAAGGGACGCGGCCTCCGGCTGCTGTGTTGCTGAGGAAACATCCCTGATGAGCCAATTAGGCCCGTGGTAGCGCCTAAATGCGGAGTTTTTAACTTGCATCGGTCGATATTCAAAGCAGCGCATGTTGCGGCTCAATCTGGGCTTCAAATAATATTTCTACAAAATGCCTGAAAAAAAAAACACTTTCAGCTCATTTTAATATTTTTTTTCTTCCAGAAAGTTAAAAAAGTTTTATTTTGTTGGGTAAAATGCGCACAGATGACAGAAAAATGGCAACAACAAAAAAAAAAGGCTGTAGCATATTAATAAAATCTGATTGTTTTTGTTTTATATAACTATTCTGCATTCCTGTATTTTTTTGCGGAATATGTATAATTTCCAGTTTTAAAAAAACAGAAAACAATTTAAACCCCACAGAGGCCTTAACTCCTGGATGCTTATTATTCACATTTCAGAAATGTCTACAAACTTTTCCCGGTTTTGATTAAAGATTTAAAAAAAATAAAATAAACTAAATATATATGTATGTATAAATATATATATATGACAAAAATAAAATATTAATACGAAATGTTGGAGTTTCACTCTATAGTAATTCTAATAAAAATAATTAAGTCATTTATTTTTCCTGTTTTGTAACAATATTGTTTTTATTTTTTGCAAACAAAAAAATATTAAAGTTAATATTTAATCTAATGCTAACATACTTGCTGATGACTTACATTTTTTTCTTATAAAAGTTGTCTTAAAAAAAAACCTCGAGGAGAAACAAAATAAAGGTTAAAGAGATTTAACCGTTTATCCTGATCGATTGGTTTTTAGAAACTGAGATTATCCTTGCACCTGCAAGAAACCACATCTGATTTTTGAGGATCAGCTTTTTTATTATTATTATTTGGTTCAATTAAATCATATCGAAGTTACAATCAGATTCTCAGCTCCTGTCACATATTTGGAGCAGTGCTTCCAGATGTTTGGGGCTTGTTGACGCGCATCAGCGGAGGAGCCGCGTCTCTCCAGGACTCATTGCGCTCCGTAGTCTCCTTCCTCCGCGCGTATCGATCAGATCTAATCCGGCCTAACAAACTATAAAACCCCGCAGCCCCCCCTCCCCGGCTCCTCTTTTTACAGGAGATTTTTTTTTTTTTTAGCAGCGCGCACGAACCCATAACGCAGCTCTCTGGCCGAACCCCCCAGGGGTGCGCCAGGCTCGGCAAACACAAAGTCATTATCGCTTAGATTCCAATAAGGCAAGTCTGTCAAGGAACGAGCTTCCTTCGGAGAATTTATGTCAGAGGATATCTTCTAAGTGATGCGCAGAAGGATAAATAACAGCGAGTCCCACAGCTGATTACACTGAAACAACGATGCGCGTTAGTGCAGAGGAGAGGGGGTTCCAGCACATGCGGAGCGCAGGGGCCCATCCACCTGCTCTTACCGGCACTGGGAGGGGGGTCTCTACAACCCACACCTCCTTCTCAATTATTTTTATTCAGACATCAGTGGCTTCACATTATTTATTTTAGGGAAAAACATCATAAAATTAAAAATGAGCTTCCAACTTTTAGTTAAAACAGGAAATTGTCATGCTGATAAAACTGTCAAGGGATAATTTTATTCCAGATATGAAAGTAGGAAAAATAACAAACATGCAGTAATAAAAATGAGTCAGAGAAAAGGGATAATACTGCATGAAAAGTTACAACACGGAGCGGCTGCGGCCTGGGTGCGTAACAGCGCGTGCATGGCACCACAGAGCCCGCGGTGATTAACTGCGACCTGGCAGCCGTGCGCGATCCTCACCGTCTCCCCCTCACACGCGCGCGCGCGAACGGAGGCGCACAAACACGCACGCGCGCACGAACTTCCCACTTTGAACATTCCTCCTCCCTTTCTGCCTCCGACATTTCTCCAAAAATCTGTTAAAAATAACTGTGCTGCTCCGGATCCAGGCTTACACCTGGGTTGAAATACATTTTAAAAAGGCTGCAGATCGAATTTAAAACAGGAATAAAAAATAAAAATATATTTAAAAAAAATGTTTCCAGGCGAGGCTCGGTTCTTCCGCGGCTGCTCTGTGGCTGTGCAACCGTGCAGGGTACTCCCTGGGTCGGCCACAGGAAGAGAAATGAGTCGGTCTCGGATGGAGCTTCTGGATGAAGCGCTCAGGTTTCCAAAACACGGCTGGTTTTTGCTTTAACTCAGCCTCATTTATGGAGGCTTTAAAACAAGGTGTGTATAAGGAGTCCATACAGGGGAGCCAATTAATGAATAATCTCATATATGGGGAAATAATAAGAAGAATATAAACCTGTGGTTTTAAAAATTGACAAATTGCACTATATCATGAATGATGCTATTTAACATTGTATATATATTTAAGGAATCCATGCATGATGCAAATAAATAATTTTTTTTAAAGCACCTGGAAATAAAGACCCATGCAAAAAAATTAATCTAATCTTATCAAGGAAAGTTAAGAAAAAAATAATAATTTTGCAAATTCAAATTCTGATCCTCTCTCTAACAAAACAGCAACAATCAGCCCTAACCTGTTAACACACACACACACACACACACACACAGAGAGAGACAAAGATCCAAGACACAGATACTTTCCTGGACCAAGAGGTGGAAGATGTTAACAAGCAGACATGAGGGATGAAGTTTGTTTCCCTCCACAGAACGGACACCCAGACAGAGATCTGAGGTGGACAGGATGCAGACGTACCTGCTGGGACATTCTGTAGAGGAGGTTGCTGTCAGTGCTCTGCTGCTGCCATGTCCCCATGAAGCCCGGCTGCTCAGCACTAGGCGGTCTGGTGCTGAACTGCATGGAGCTCTCGCCTGCTCCCTCAGCGTTCCTGCTGCTGCTAACAATGCTAACACCACCCAGACCACCACCACTGCCTCCGATGCTGCTGAGGTGACTCTGACTTCTGGAGGGGATCCTCACACCGACGGTGGCTTCGTTAACCTGAGCCGGAGGGGGTGACTCCGGGGCTCTGCTGGGCTCTGCGGGGACCGTGTCAGGCTCGCTGCTTCTCACATCCAACTCTGCCTCCTTGGACTTGGAAAGAGGGAGAGATGAGGGGGAGGGAGGGTAAGAGGGGAGAAGTAGGAGTGTGAAGGAGGAGAGAAGAAAATAAGTCAGCAAAGGTGGGTTCTTTTAGGGTCGTGATGTCTTTGGGGTTTTCTTTTGTGAACAGGATAACTTGGCGGCACAGCAGTGTGTGTTTGGATGTAATTGTTATGAAGCTGGAGGGAGAAAAAAAAGGGGGGGTGCTTGCGGTGAATCTCCTCAGGGGCCTCCTGATCTTGTGGGGTGGGTGAGGGGTGGGCACCATTGGAGGTGAGGTGGGTTGGAGAGAAGGATGGAGAGGCTGATGAAAAGCTGAGCAAGAATGGAGTAAAACAAAATAAAAAGGTGGAGGGGACCCAGGAAGGAAAGCAGCAACATGGACACACCAGAACATGCTTCATCTGCCTGCATAATGTTCAAAAATGAGTGTCAAAGAGCAACAAAGTTTGGAATAAGAAATCAGCAAAGACAACACATGCACAGGAATTCTGCAAAGCTGAAGTGATCCTGGAGAGCTAAGATAGGTTCCTATAAATCTGAGCCTGAAGTTTGGTTCTAAAAGGTCCCATTAAAGCCCAAGAGTTGAGTCGTGTCTTACCATCAAACCACTGGCTGTCCCGGGAAAGTGAGGATGAAGTGTGAGCTGAGCCACCAGCTATCCCGCTCCTCTCCCTGCCTCCTTTTCTTTCTCTCTCTGTGTGACTCCGTCCCTCTCCTGACGTCCGTGCCGCTGCCTGTCCTCCCTCCTATCCTCTCCCTTTACTCCTCTCTCTCTTTCTCTCTCTCTCTCTGTCTGACTCCTCTGTACTCCACCGCAGCCACGGAGGGACTGAGCAGGAGCACCTCAGAGTTGGTGTGTGTGTGTGAGAAAGAGAGCAAAGCGAGGGAGAGAGGAAATGTGTGTGTGTGCCGGGCCGGTGAAGGCTCAACTGTGCCTCTCTGCTCTGAGATGCTCAGTGACACTGCGCTGCACACTTCTCCTGCATGGACACCCCTCCTCTGCTCGGGGCAGGGAGGTGGGGGCATCGCTGAGCAGTAAGAGGAGGAGGAGGAGATGAGGATGAGGGGGGAGTTAGCTGCTTGTCCCCCTGCCTTATTACCATGTTCACTGCTGTTAGTGGCCGGCGTTTCTTAAAACAAAGTTCTCCTATGGGACAGACCCCACACACACCAACACACACACAGCTGCTCTGCGTCTGTCTTCTACTTTTTGCACGTCTCCTGATGCACAACAATTTCATTAATTGTCATGTTGTTAAAAATAAAACTCAAAATCTTCTGCCTTTGTAGGATTTTCAGCAGCTCTAATGAAGGACTAATGGAACAGCAGCAATCTGCCACCATCACCAGCAGCATCAACACGCTCAGCTCACAGGCACCTCCTCCTCCTCCTTCTTCTCCTGCTCCATGGAGGCTCTCAGATTTTAATTAAGAAAAAAATGAGGAAGAGGTTCCATTTTAGCCAAATTGGTCCCCGCAGCAGAGAAGGTGTGGGAATAACATGAGGGATGGAGGAGTAGAAGGAGACAGACACAGAGAAAAAAGACACACAGGAGGATGTAAGGAGGGATGAACAGAAAAAAAAAAAAATACTTCCTTTGACACAGCATCTCAAACAATGAAGACCCCCCCTCCTCTTCCTCCACAACCTCCTGCCCCTTTCATTTTTCCTCTTTACTCTCATCGGCTTCCCATTTTCCCCATCTCGGTCTGTCATTAGAGAAATGGCAGAGCAGGTACGGCGGTCCACGGCCACAGACGGAGATGTCACAGTGATCTTTCCACGGCAGCGCAACAAAAGAGAAGGGGACAGGCGAAGAACTTGTCTCCTCGATGGCATTAAACAGCTCCTGATCTATAGAGTCACTTCAAATTTGGTGCTAAATTGCTGCAGACGGCTGCCTGGCTGTCTGTTAAAAGCCTTTTGTAGCAGCTGTTAATGGCAGCGCGGTGTTAACCTTTGCTGAGATTATCACAGCCAAGAAAAGTGCAGCATGTGTATTAAATGTGTGTTCTTTTTGTCTTCTGTCAGTGGGTTCAATTTACATCTTAACCCTTTTTTTTACCCAATGTCTTCCCTCCATTTTTCCTCCCTTCTTGTCTGTAGATTAATCAATCAGAGATCAGAATAAGACTATTTTCTTTGCATTAGCCCTGATTAATGATCCACACGATAAATAATACAATGTTTATTTTTTTCCTTCCAAATATAAAATAAAAATATATTAAAAATAAAATGTTCATTCAGTTCTAGGCTAAAGGTGTCACCTAACAGCAAACAGAAATAAGGGTCACCTTTATCCTGCTGTACGTTGATAGGGGTTAAAGAAGATGTGCCTGCTTGGATACCTTATAATCAGTGCAGTGTCCTCTGCAGGCTTTAGGGGAGATGCACCACCTCTCCTTTTAGTGACTTGAACTCTAAACAACTTAGATTGATATACAAGTAAGTCAATTTTCATAACAATACGTGTATTTTCCCTTAATTTGAGCAGCAAAGTAAGGCAATCTGCCAGTGCAAGAAAAAAAAAAAGAAAAAAAAACGACTCAGTTCTCTTACCATAAGTCCATATCTTCTAATTAACTTATTTTAAGTGCAAAACAAACTGATCCTCTACGTAGATCATCTTATTTGCTTTCTAAATTTAAGAGGAAATATGCTAATTTAAAAAAAATATTTATTTATTTTTAGCACCTGGTCTCGTCAGCCTACAATCCTTAAAAGAACATCACAGTACGTAAGCTGCAAACATTTTCTGTCTAACCAAGTCTTTCTGAGATTGATATACTAAGCAATCCCAGATTATATACAATTAATATCAATAAAAAAAAATACTACTCAAAATAAGTGTAATAATCTTTTAGAGCAGCAAGACAATTGCTCTTGGTAAGACTTAATGATATATTCTCCAAAAAAAAGAAGCAAGGTCTTGAAGATTATTGCACTTATTTTCAGTTTTTCTCAAAATAAGATAAAGAATCTGGTCTTTTTTAGTATATCAATATCAAAACAGAATACATCTTTTTTTCACTAAGATCTGAGATTGCAAGCATTGATTTGATGGACACTTTTTGCACAAACATCTGTAATGGACAGGAAAAGCCCATCTATACTTTTAACAAGCTGTCTTTTATTTTTGCATTATGGCCTATGACCCGTCAGCAGCCGCTATAATAAAACACATAATGCATCACGCCTTCGTCGTGCAGCTTCACTCTTAGCAACTTATTGAAAAAATAATGCATGAGGTCGTTGGCTAATTCTATTAAGTGACAATTTAGCTGCCAAGGTTCCTTTTTCCCCTCTCCAGAGTTTCCCCCCCTCTCCCTTCTCTCGGCTGTAAATGTGCTAGTCTGTGGGTTTTTCAAGTGGCACTCAGTGTTTCAAGTCAAGCTGGTGGCTCAGCTTCTAACCCGGCTGCTTAATGGCTGTTATTTGTGGGAGGGAGGAGTGGACTCTGCCAATAGAGCTCACTCTTACTCCTCATTTCTCTAACACTCTTTTTCTCCTTCTCTTGCTGCTTCTTGCTGATGGAAACAGCTAAAGAGGAGAAACGAAAAAATACAAGGCTGAAAGAAATTTGGAGTGGAGATGAAATAGAAAAATGAAAAATCTCTATTAGCAGCAGGGGGGAAGAAAAAAAAGAGGAAAGAAGCGGATCCCGGAGAATCTCAGGCTCCTTTATTAAAACTATTATTGTGCAGGACTAGAGAATTCCCCGTGGGGCAGGGGTCCATGTCGAAGCCCATATAATTAACTAGAGGCTCAGCTACGGATCAATTACCAGACAAGCAAGTGATAGCTGAATCAATGGAAGATCATCAGGCTCGTTATCAGTGTTGCAACTCATTAGAGGAAAAGTGAGGTAGAGAAAGAGGGAGAGCAAAAAAAAAAAAAAGGAGAGGGAGGGAGGGTAAAGATAGAGGGAGGGAGGAGATGGGTGAGGCAGGAGGTTTGGGCAGGGCTGATGTGTGTTGTGTATTTGTGGTGGACTCCTCGTTAGCCGCCACTGACTGGTGACAGGGGGGGCGATAAGGGCAGGCCGCTCTGTAGCAACAGTCACTGAGGCTTGTACGGATCAATACAAATGTGTGCATGAGGTTAAAGCTGGGCCGTAGCATCCTGACTCTCCCGTGACTTGGGATGGGGGGGTCAGGGGGGTTCACAATCTGAGTGAGTGAATGTCAAGTATAGAAAGTTACACACCAAACCTGACATTACAAAAGGGGGGGTGTCTTTAACAAAAGGTGATAATAAATCCTAAAAAAAAAATCTAAAATAATCAGCAGTAAATTGGGTTTTGTTTGAAACTAAACATTTTTCATTCAAACTTTTTGAATAAGACTGTATTAATTCTTTATTTTGATGTAAATATTTATCTTTATACTTTTTATCCTACATTCAGTGCCTAAAAGGAAATTTAAATGATAAAAAAAGGAACATGATGTCATAAAATGGGGGGACATATTGTTTTAAAAGTAAAGTAAAGTTATAACATCAGAGCAGTGCTTCTTCCTAAATGATTGGCAAGCAAAGGTTTCATTTTAAATATGTGCAACATACCCTGAGAGTTTTACTCTCCTGCTCTAAAGTTTTTCATATTGAACTGATGTTGATATGATGGATGGAAACTAAAGTCATTCCTTGTTTGTTATTAAAATCTTGGCCAATAAAGAGGATTCTAATGATCCCATCAGAAAATGTCTCTCTAGCTGAATCAGGTCCTGTCACCTCATTGATCCAAATGTCTGCACGATCTTTGGCTTCCTGGCCTTTTTGCTCTTCCACCTGTTATCACCATCTTCCCAACCTTTAAATGCAATACTGTTGTGGCCTTCATCTTAAGATTTACCTCCCTTTCATGAAGTCTGAGGACCCTGAAGCTCTTCACCTTACCCATACGCCGATGGTGGCACGCTACAATGTGGTCAAAGACATGATAACTGAGATGGACAGAGTAACCATTACCCCGGTAAAAAAAACATCTTCATGATAAAAGTCTGGATTCATATAATGTTTTCATCTCTATTTCAGATAATTTAACTGATTTTCATGGCAAAGGACTTTTAAATGCTTGGTCTTGGATTGTTCCATCTCTTGTTTTTATCGACTAGACACATGACAAACAACTAGGCATGCAAACACTCACACCTGAGGGAAGTTTAGAGAAACCAACTGACCTATCAGTCATGCTTTTAGGTTGTGCGAGGAAGCTGGAGTACCCAGAGATTGCATGTATGCATGTGGAGAGCATTAAGGTAACCATTCTAATAATGTGTCACCATTAAGCTTGTGGTCTGGGTCAGCCTATATTCCAGGGGTAACCTATTAAAAATCAGCAGGGTCAGATTAAAGAAAACCATCAACCAGTAAAGGTCCGGAGACATTTTTAATTATAATCTGTTACTTTAAACATAATTTAACACTGAAATAAATGAGGTGTTTATGCATCCATATTATTCGTTGACTTTTTAAATAAACAAAAAAAAGATTTAAAAAAAAGGGTATTTTTCCATTTTAAAATTTACAGTGTTTTTTTCAGTAGAGAACAGCAATCGTTCAGTTTGGTATACAGACAAATTCCTGATTCATATATTTTTTAAAACACCTGAACAGACCATTTGTTATTTCTTTTCTTTCTTTTTTAAGGCTTAATAAGAGAAATGGGCTGCAAGGCTTTAAATCTGGGTTTGAAT